AAAGAGACCCCAGACAGCACTCTTGCCCCTTCAGCCACAAGAGGACACAGCAAGAAGATGGGAAGGGGGCTCTCACCACACACCAGAAAGGCTGGTGCCATGTTCTTGAGCTCTGCAGTCCCCAGAACTGTGATAAATGTCTGTTGTTTAAAAGTCACCCAGTTTATAGCATTTTGTTTTCACAGCCTGAATAAGACTAAGATCCTCAGGGTTGGTGGCGGTGGTGTTCTCCCCCCCACCATTGTCTGTATACCACTGCAAGTCAGACATGTGGTTTGCCTTCAGGTGTCCAGACTTTACTTGTGCCAAGTCCTCCCCAGCTCCCCACTGGTGACTCGGACAAGAGAGGGAGACACACGTAATGTGTTCTACCGTACAGGTGGGAATGACCCCCACACGGGGGATCCCTTATAGAGTTAGACCAGAGCCCCAAAAGGCCTCCTCCTGCAAATGCCTCAGTTGTTGCTCTCCTCAAGCAGAGAGATTCATTTTGGATGCCACACTCTTTTTTGTGGGGGTGAGTTGAGGGGCAGATGAAAATGTTCCCGTGGAGGATGAAATGCACTGATCATTTATGGCAGTGGGTCGGTTGTTTTCAACAGAGCAACACCAGATTGAGACCCCATTTGGCAAAGGCAGATGGCCCCTTGGTGATGGAAGAGCCTAGCGCTTGTGTTCGGTGGGTGTGGTCAGCATTGTTCGCACAACTTCTCAGTGCCTTGGTTTCGTTTTAAGTTGGAATCCACGCTGAGCCACCTACCCCACAAACTGCTACAGAGATCACGCGCATGGAGGCGCTTCGTCAGGTCCTCTTGAGTAACCCCCCGCCCAGGGGCCCTTGCTCTCCTGACTTTCCCCGTGTGCCGTGGGTCTGTGGCAAGTCGTTTACTTGCGAGCCCCTTTACACATTATTCCCTGAAGCCTGGGCTGTTTTTCTTCCCAAGGAAATGTGCGATCAAGAAATCCAAGCCCATTTTGATATGAGTCTTCTGCAAAGTGTGATTAGGGAGGTAAATCCTTTGTTTGTAAGAAACTCGTATGTCACTCGCACAGCTGAGCAGAAACGATTTTGAAATTCACCATGCCGTGGAGCGGTGGTGTTGGCCCCTTGTCTGAATTAGCACCAGTCAGTGAATTCTTCATGTTTAAAACTGAGGGACACATGTGGTCTGAGCTGGTCTTTTGACCCAAGTGAATGCTCGTTGATCCTTATTCCCAGGAAGGCTTTCGTGCAGAACCACGTCGCTCTTGGGAAGAACAACCCTGTCTCTGTTGCTAGGATGTCCTAGATTTCTGCACACATAGCGGGAATGCTCTTGTCGCGAGATCGTCTCACATTTAGCCTCCTGAAGGTGAAATAAGGCCTGCATTTAAGATTGGTCATTATCTTGGGAAGACTGGGGAAGATAAATTTGAATCTGTCTTTGAATTTCAACTACACCAGCAGGTTCTGAATAAACAGCCAGATCCTCATTAAACTCCACAGCAAACTTTAGGCATAAATGGAACTTGCTGGGAATTTATTCTCTAAGGAAGCCAGGCCACATAATTTTCTAAACACCCCTTTCCTATGAAATGTGAAATGAAAAGAGCTAGTCAGAACGTGTATTGAATATGCACTTGGCAATGTTAGTACAGTTGCTGTGGGAAATTACTTTTATTTTCATCATTGTATATTTAGTAAGAATGAGACAAAAAACTAATCAGCGTTTGAACCTACGTCCGGTGCTTAAAGTGCTGGGCCCTGTGCTGGGCCATGCATGGCAAGACCCCAATTTCTGCATCAGTGTTTGTCAACCATGGCGCCCCTGATAATTTGGGCTCCTCTGCTTCTCTGTGGTGGTGCATCCTGTGAACTACAGCATGTCTAGAAGGATCTCTGGCTTCTACCCGCTAGATGCCCATAGTATCCCCCCCCGACACACACAGCTGGGACACACAGTACTGTGTCCAGACATCGCTAAACAAAGACACCCCCTCCCCTTGCTGAGAACCTCTGCTCCCCCTGTATTGAGATTTACCGGTGAGAAAAACCTCACTGGGAAAACAACGAGGTAAGACACAGCAGAAGGACACGTTTAGGCCTGCCATCTTATCAAGTGGCCTGAGAATGTCAGTGTTTGCCTCTTTCCTTAGAAAATCCTCTCTGGGGCGCCTGGGTGGCTCAGTCGTTAAGCGTCTGCCTTCGGCTCAGGTCACGGTCCCAGGGTCCTGGGATCGAGCCCCGCATCGGGCTCCCTGCTCCGCGGGAAGCCTGCTTCTCCCTCTCCCACTCCCCCTGCTCGTGTTTCCTCTCTCTCTGTGTCTCTCTCTGTCAAATAAATAAATAAAATCTTAAAAAAAAAAAAAAAGAAAATCCTCTCTGCTTGCAGTAAAATGGCAGTAAGCAGACCTCGAAGAAGAAAAGCCACTTTGTTCTGAACTGTGGAAGCTAATGTCCCCACTAAACTTAGTTGGATATACAAATCATCAGCACATAGAAAGAGAAAGCGAGATATGACGAATAAATACACTGGTATAGAGGAGTGGCAGGTGTTTTCCCTTTGGATGAGCTCTTCCCATCAGCGAGGAGGATTCGTACGGTTCTTTTCTGTAGGGAAGTAATTGAATACTATTTTTCAACCAAACACCGCAAAAGAGTTCCAAGCACTGACTTGTGAACTTCACATTATGCTCCGACACGCGGGGGTGGGGGGAAACACGTCATTCGGACTCTCATGCTAGTGATTCTTTTTTTTTTTTGTAGCGCAGAAGTAATTGTGCAGCATATTGAAATAGATCGTTATATTGACAGGGGGCCTTTGGTTCTCTAAAGAGCGTTAAGTGCTGCAATTTCACAATATGTGTGCCATCCACAAACTGTTCCTGTTACCACTACAGTGCATTTTGCCAAATAACTTCGTTAAATAGCCACAGTGTGCCTGCAGAACATACCTAGAGCCTGTAATTGCTTTTTTAAAGGACTAGCCAACTGATGACAGAGCCAAATTCAGTTAGGGGGAATGCAGTCCTCGTAAGGCTGAACAGCCCTTCTCTGAAAAACACCCAACTGCTGATGCTCTGGGGCCCAGAAGGTTGGTTTCTGTCCTGTCGTCCCCCCGCGCGGGCGTGTGACGTCATCTCCCACAAACCCAGGGACCTGTGTACGCTGGCTGTGCCTAAGATCACCGCACACCATTGGGAGGAGTGCCTAAGGACAGGCCTGTCTACACCCACTCTTCCTCGAGGACGGGTGACAATCTCCTGTAAGATTGCCATTGCACTTGGGTTTGATGCCCTGCTATCCACATCTTGCAATTCTTAATACCTGCATTTTTACTTTGCACGGGACACACAGATTATGTAGCTGGTTCTGGCACTGAGCACCAGCCTGGGACAACAGAGAGGCGTGCCACGTGTCATTCCCTTCCCTTGTTCCTGCAGGAGTCCTGGCATCGTGGTACGAGGCCACTGAATTTGCTCCCACACAAATCTGACGCCCCAGATGCTTCTGGGCCCCCTGTCGGGAGCCCAGTGCTATAAGGGCAGCTCCAGCCAGGACCTCTCCCTCTGTCCTCGACATGCCCCCAACAACACGGGAGGCTCTCTCTGCGTTTCTCCCACCGTTCAGACGGCGGGGAAGCACCAGAGGGTCTTCACTGCTGCCACAGAGAAGGAGCGATAACAACAGGCGTCTGTCGAGTATCAGCCCTGAGAAGGACTGACTGACCATGCAGGAGATACCCTTGCCTCCAGCAGCTTGGGGCAGTGAGGAGCCAGGAGGCAGGAGCCAGGAGGCATGTTTAGAGGACGAGAGCCTGTGCCCACTGCTAGGGACGGGACGGAGACGTAACTGGGTTCCAGCGGCGACCTCCGGAGAGGACTTTTCCTATAGAAAGTGCATTTTGCTGGTAACCGGATCGATTATTTACTCACAGTTCAGAGTAAATTGGCCTTTGAGAGCTAACCTCAGAAAACATACCTATAATATCGCTTCTTTGGGGGAAATGCCCTCTGAGTTCTAAATAATTCCACATAGATGATTTACAAATCAGTTTTAGGGCCATCATCCATTTGTGAATAACATATGCCCCCCCCCATCTCATGAAATCTTTCACAATAAACAGCCATAGCGTCTTTGCTCACTAGCTGGAAGATTATAGCTTAAATATTCAGTATCTACTGTGGTGTCTTTCCAAACAGAACAGTACTGATTTGGAAACTATACTGGAAAATAAAACACGTACATGTCAGAAAGGTTCCCAGTGCCAGGCTTCTTCCGTTGGAAGAAATGGTAATATTTTAAATGGCAATCTTTTTTGACTTTTTCAAAGGAAGATAAGGGATAATTGGTGTTCCTACCTGCCACTGTCTCATTTATATCCAGACCATGTTGCTAACGCATGAAATGTGCTGCCATCCTTAGCAACATCCTGGTGACAAAGTAGAACACCCCTAAGCTCCAGGCTAGTGTCCCCCCCTAATAACCGGAGGGTTTCGCGCCTCTGAAAAATAAGAGTGCAACTTTATTTTCATTTTTATTTTTTAAAGAAAACTCGACCGCCACCATAGGGCTCATGACCCCAAGATCAAGAGTCCCAGGCTCGGACGGAGCCAGCCAGGCGCCACAAGGGTGCAACTTTAGTATGATTTTTATAGTATATGATAGAGCATCGTAAATAATTTATGAGCACATAGTCAAGAATTTAGCCTTACCTGGAGTTTCATGTTGTAACGACTTGGCTGTCTACAATTAAAATCCCGATTTTACGCAGGTGAGGTCAACGGAGACACAGAACATTGAACTGTGCATGTCTCTTCAAGGTCTTTTCAGGTATTAGAAGTGTTATTTTCTGTTTAACGGTGTCCTGTGTGCCCTTGACATAGATGGAACTCATTTCACGTTTTATAGTAGTTGTTATTTTTTGAAACATTTCACATTTTATGGTAAACGTATCAAAGCTGTTGAATGCGTGCTAACGCCTATGTTTATGAGCTGTTTCTTTATTTTATTCATCTAGGTTCTGCTGGCCAGCAGCTTCGTGCCCATTTATGCAGGACTGAAACCAGTGGAATACAAAGGGCAGGTAACACTCTCATAACTGATGAATTCGCCGTAATTCCTGTAGGACGATGTTTCCGTTGAAGCATTCAGTTTTATGATTATTCTTCTGGTTCCAAATCAGTTTATAGGATTTTTTTTTAATAACTAGTTTTGTTTGTAACAGAAAAAAAAAAATCAAGTACAGGGGCCTTGGCACCTTACGGTCAAGATCTCGAGATTCAGAATGACTGGGATGCTCCTTTTCTCCTCTGATTGAAAACTTCATCCCTTTTGTTTAAAAAAAGAGTGAAAGACTTCAAAAAATAATAAAGTCCTATTTACAGCTCCTTCTATAAGCAGAACTGTGCTGTCAGGTGGGAAAAGGCATCAGGGAGCCACACACCCGCCCGGCCCAGCCGAAGCTGGAGCGCTCCCCTCCGGCCCCCACACGGGAGCCCTTTACCGGGGAGCAAGCCCCTCTTCTGCCAGGCCCTTCACTTACCCAAGTGTTTGTCAGACCGTCTGCATTCCAGGACAGCGCTCTTCACTTGGGGCCGACACTCCAGGCAGGAGACAGGTTCTGGGAGAGAAAGTTAGAGGTGAGCATCCCCCTGCAGTCTGCTCTTAGCCAGCGCTGTGGGGAGGTATTTTATGTACGTATTTATTTATTGTAAAGATTTTATTGATTTGAGAGAGGGAGAGAGAGAGTGCGCGCAGGCGTGTGTGCAAACACGAGTGGGGAGGGGCAGAAGGAGAAGCAGACTCCCCGCTGAGGGTCCCGATCCCAGGACCCTGAGATCATGACCTGAGCCGAAGGCAGATGCTTCACCGACTGAGCCATCCGGGCACCTCTACGGGAAGGTATTTTAGCCAGCTCTTTTCTGCATTCTGCACCATGGTTGCATTAAACGTTCATCATCCTACCCTTTACACACACACGCTTTATAGTCAAATACACTATCTACTTGACACATACCAGAGATATGTATTTGTAATCACATACAGTATCTTTTTAACACATACAAGAGATAAGTATTTATAATCAAATACACTATTTGACACATACCAGAAATATGCATTTTATAATCAAATGCACTATCTACTTAACAGATAACAGAGATCTGTATTTATAATCAAATACAGCATCTATTTAACAGATACTAAAAATACGTATTATATAATCGAATACAGTGTCTTTTTTTAAGATTTTATTTATTTTTGCGAGAGAGAGAGAGTGAGCCTGCACGAGCAGGGGGAGGGACAGAGGAAGAAGAGCCTGCACGAGCAGGGGGAGGGACAGAGGGAGAAGCACATTCCCCACCGAGCAGGGAGCATGATGCAGGACTCGATCCCAGGACCCTGGGATCATGACCTGAGCCGAAGGCAGACGTTTAACTGACTGAGCCACCCAGGCACCCCTCAAATACAGTATCTATTTAACACCCAAGATCAGGCACATGTTCATGGATGGATAAATGCCGCTCATTTTATTTGTCTCATATATACATAATATGTATTTATTCTTAAGTGGGTACATGAAAAATGTTTGATATCTTTCATTCATTCATTCAGTCACTCAGTTTGAGGGCCCAGCACGATACCTGTACACGAGGAATGCATTTTTACAAATCTCTTACCTAATATGATTCGGAACCTGTCTGAGTTCTGGTCTTGCGAGTCCTCATGGTTTTCTTTGAGCTTTCCCGGCCTTTCCAATCCTTCGCTTCCTGTACAACTCTGGGCCCAAATTGGTCTGCCCCAGGATGGCTATCCAAAGGCACAGACGGGGAGAGCAAGGGACTGAGAGGTAAAGTAGCTGAAAAGGCCATGTAAAAAACTAAAGATGTATTGTATGGTGAGTAACATAACATAGTAAAAAAAAAAAAAAAAAAGAATAAACCTTAAAAAAAAAAAAAAAAGGCCATGTAGGTACTAAGATGCAGAGCCTAAGAGGGACCGTTACTCTGACTTGAACTCTATGGATTAGCCATATACATGCAGTACATACAGAAGGCTAAAACCCTCTTTGTGACTGGGTAGAAACAAAATATACATTTCTTTTTAGAGCAACATAAAATCATTTAAACATCAGCTCATGGAAAACAGGGTTTTTTCCTCCCTATTGTTGACACTGTCTCTCAGAGCTAATAGGCATTTAGTTTCCAAGGAGTGTGAGCTATGTTGTCATCTAAAATTTTATTTGAAAGATACAGTACTTTACATAATTAAAGTTAAGAATCCTTTCCCTCTTATTATAGGAGTAAAAATTAATATTTATTTTTAGCTGTAAATTTTGAATACAGATGCTATCCAAATCAACTCTATCTTCGGAACATTGACTTTATAATGATCTGAAGTGTCATGATTTTACTTCAAAGCTTGAATTTGCAATATACAATGATAGAGATGGCTAAATGGGAAGCAATGGTAAGGTGTTTTAGAAAGTATAGATTAGGGCGCCTGGGTGGCTCAGATGGTTGAGCGTCTGCCTTCGGCTCAGGTCATGATCCCAGGGTCCTGGGATCGAGTCCCGCATCGGGCTCCCGGCTCAGCAGGGAGCCTGCTTCTCCCTCTGACCCTCTCCCCTCTCATGCTGTTTCTCTCTCGCTCGCTTTCTAAAAAATAAATAAATAAAACCTTTAAAAAAAAAAAAGAAAGTATAGATTATGAAAGGGGGGCTCAGGAGCCCGGAGTCATCCGAATTGCCAGTCTGATCAATGATTAAGAGGTGGCGACTGAGCAGGGAGGATGTAGATACAGCATGTGACAGTGAGGAGGTAGGGACTTCAGAAAGGGAGGACAGGGTCACGGTGACAGTCGAGCTGAGTCCCAGAGCCCAGTGAGCTCTAAGCCTATGCTAAACACTTTGCCGTTGCAATATTAGTAAGAGTATCACGAAACGGGTGCAGGTGGGAGAGGCTTCTGGTTCTCTTGCACCATGAACTTTCCTTTCCTTCCTTAACAACAGTCAGAGCTGTGAGCTGGACCTGGAGCAGGGTACTTCAAAGGCCACATTTCCCAGCTGCCCTTGTAGCTTGGTGTGGCTGTACATGGAAGTGCTGGCCAGAGAGATAAGCTGAATTACAGTGCGACTTACCTTTGTTTACTTCCTGCTGCCCGGAACGTAGTTGTGATGACTGGAACTATAGCAGCTGTTGTGGATCATGAGGTCAGACATCACAGCCTGGAGATGGCCACAGAGTGAGCTGGAAACACCTGAGCCCTCAGTGATTTGGGGAGGCCACCCGTGCATTTTCTTCTTCCCAGAAAAAGGAAGTAGTACTTGTGCTGTGACTGTTTGCTGTCAGCTGCAACAGAAGGGATTACTACCTGGTGTTTCACAGATGAGGATATGCAGATGCAGAGATGTTCCGTTACTTCACTCAGGTCACCGCGCTCGTCAGGGGGCCTCTTTCCCAGAATGATCTCCAATGTTTGTGTCTCTGCCACGCCTCTTGCCTCACTTTGCTTAGTGCGTTCCTTTAAAAAAAAAATAGATCTCCCTCGGTTTTTTTCCCTCCATCGCCATTCCCACTTGTTGGGTTTGTGACCCGATGACTAGCGGCGGTTAAAAAGGTCGGCCGTTCGGGCGCCTGGGTGGCTCAGATGGTTAAGCGTCTGCCTTCGGCTCAGGTCATGATCTCAGGGTCCTGGGATCGAGTCCCACATCGGGTTCCCTGCTCAGTGCAGAGCCTGCTTCTCCCTCTCCCTCTGCCACTCCCTCTGCTTGTGCTCTTCTGTCTATCTCTCTGTCAGATAAATAAATAAGATCTTTAAAAAAAAAAAAAAAAAAAGGTCGGCCGTTCTCAGCTGCGTTTCCCATCGTACGACTGAGCACTTGGACATGAATGTGTGAACACAGCCACAGCTCAGCAGCCCAGAATGCAGCCCCTGAGTTGTGAGAAGGATGGAGACCAGCACTGAGGCCCCTGACCTTGGGCAGGAGGACAAGGTCTTGCTGATGACCCGTGTCTCTGAAGTAGACACAGGATAACTACTTAATTTTAATGCCTCCTGAAAGCATTCGGTTTTCCTTGGTGGTTTACTGATGTCCACAAAGAGGAGACTGCATGCACCCGAGGATGCACAGAGCCCTCGGAGACCCTGTCCGTTGATGCAGACCCCACACTACATAGCACTGTCGCTCTGTGCTCATCACGGACTCTCCATCAGCCTGATAGCCTCCTACAGGGGCTTAGAGGGTTTCTAGGCCAAGTTATTTTCCAGAACCGTTCCGTTTTCAGGGAAATGCAAACTGTGCTTTAAACGCAGTGTTTTGCTGTGGGTGTGAGCTTTTCCTAGGATTTAAATTACAGAAAAATTCCTATAATGTTTTCATGGAACTCGGGTCCTGACTGGTGTGTTTGCTGCGCGGGTTTCCCTGAAGTGACGGAGACTGTGCCAGAAGTGGGGACAAAGGGAACGGAGGATGACTTGCACTCGGGCCTTCGAGCTGTGGGACGCGGAGCCGTGCCCGTGTGGTGGAGGCCAAGAAGGGCCACGCGCTCCCTGCTCCCCCCGAGCAACGCACACTCCTCCTCGTTCCACCTCTGCGAGAACCCACGTATCGAACATACTGGATTCTATTAATATTTATTTGTGGACCGAATAGGTTTATTTTAAAAATCAATTATTAGTCACTTGAAAGTATCATTCCTTCGCAACACTGAAGATTAATTTGACAGACAGTATATTTCCTTCCCAACCTGTTTACCAGCTGTATGAAGTGGAACGACCTCTATTTCCTTTAACCTAATTTTTTTCTTAAAAAGTTCTTGTAGCTTTTACTGGCTTCATCTTATAAGACCATTTTTAATACCCTGTTTATGGTAGATAGTCATGAACAGCTGAACACATGAATGAAAGAATGCAAACATATTGAAGGTCAGACTTGTATTTTTTACTAATGAATTTTCTATCCATATGTATGGCCTCTGAACATGCATACGATCGGGCTACGTTTTCACAGGTTCTTGCCATCAGTTTGGAACAAAAACGAGCTTTTTCAAGAGGAGCTCTTAACTAGCAAGTTGTTTTGTTTTGTTTTGTTTTTTTAAGAGATAGCATTATCATTGGCAAATGACCAAAATGTCCGAATAACAGAATAAGATCATCTCTAGAGCTGATATATGCAGATGACAAGAAAAGCTGTACGACTTTTTTTTTTTTCTTGGTCTGAATTAGAATTCAGGTAATATTTTGATGGTTATATAGAGAAAATTTCACATTGACCTATTCTGGTCTATTGAGCATTTTGCATGGGTTATGGATTATTAATTCTTTCATTATTGATATATTTCTGGGAAGGAGAACTGTGGAATACTCTATGTTACTATGTATTTGTGTAAAATCATTACTACAGACCTTAGGCTTCTATTTCTTCATGATTTGGACGTTTCACACGGATATGTAGCTCAGTCCCATCAAAGCAAAAGCCTGGCAACCAGCTCGATTTGGCTGGATGGAAATCTGCTTATCAATTCACAGTTAATCTGAAAGAGAAGATCTTATTTTTCAGCAACATTCTAAAATGCTTTGCAGTGTCTGTTTGAAAAGACACATTAGTCTTCCAGGGAATATTTTTGATATAACATACTCAGCGTTTTCTCAAACTTGAGTATCATCATTTTTAAATCAAAAATTAGAAACTCAAAAATTAAGACAACAATGTACCAATAATCTTTAGTGGAAGTAAAATGGTAGCACGGTTGTTCAACCTCTTCTTAAATTTTTTATTTATTTTAAGCTGTGTCCCTTGTATTGAGGAAAGCTCATCTATCCCCCCTCCCCTCCTGTGTTTCTTCACTTCAAATGGGAGATTCTGACCTATGTCGTGGAGAGTGCGTATCTCCTTCTCTTTCTCTCTGTCTCTCCTCCCTCCCTCTATTTTGAGAATCAAGGACCAAGAACGTCCTGTTGGACATAGCTATTTGTCCTCTGTTTCATACAAGATCAGACATGCTTGCAAATACAAAGTGATTCTTCAGGCCGTATTTACTGCCCCTGGCCCCGCCTGGCCCCCCACCCCCCGCAGGAAACCATTCCGATCCACATGGCTGTTTTACAGTGTGTGAGAAGGAAGAGCGCAAGTGAGAAGACCAGCTGCACCCCCTCTGCTTGCATACTCTGCAGCAGAGGTTGGCAGATAATTTCCGAGAAGCACCCGGTAAGATGGCATGGTGGGACATCCAGTCTCTGTTGAGACTTAATGCAGCTAATCAAGTTTGCTGTTGTAGTGGAAAAGCGGCACGGCTCTATGCCAATAAAACTTTATTTACAAAAGCAGGTGGTGGGCCGCAGTTTGCCAACCTGTAACCTAGACACCAAGGAACCCCGCAAGCCTCAGTTTCCTTTTCTGTAAAATGAGAAAACGGATTATACTAGCATGATCCTCCTATCTGCTGGCATTTTCATAGAGATTAAACCAAGTAATATGGGAGCGGTTGTTTCATAAACCATTAGGCTCTGTGCCACGATACTTACAATAATTATAGCTTTCAACATCTCATTCATTCTCCTGACAAAGTATTCTGTATTCACTTCTCTCTGAACAAAACACCTGAAGATAATTCAGCCCTGCATCAAGTCTTTCTCACGAACATACCTATCTCCGTGTCCACCACGAATCCAGGCACACATTGGATGCTCTGAGGTGCTTGCAGGATGAATTCACAGGCCCTGATAGTAGAGATTACCTGCTTAGGTTTTTCTTTAAGAAGCTTTCCCCTGTTAGTTCTGTAACAAGAATTGCCTGAATTCATAAACCTGGGGGCATGTTCTTCGTATGTTCCCAGAGCACATCGGTGGGTTAGGCAAAATTTGACAAGTCCTGACACATGCATAAGCTCGCCTGTTTAGGTGTGACAGTTACCGCTATGCCTTTAGAAGTGATACGAAACCGTCACGGGAAGAACCAGCACAGTTTGGTTTTCTCCCCGAAGAAGATTCTGGAATCACAGAAGCTCATGGCGGTAGTTAGCAGCTTCCAGAATGCTGCCCACAAGGTGGGGAGGAGGAGATGACTTGCAGAAATCTGTAGCAAACAGCCAGAGAATTCATGGACAGCATCATTTCAAATGCAGACTTTTAAACTAGACCACGCTAGATATAAGATATTTCCACTTTTAATTTGGGGTTGAGGAATGTTTACTGCCGTTACTGTTGTTTCCAGAGATTTTGCTAGAATCAGCATGCCTGCATGAATATGTGGTTTTTGGGAATGATACAGCTCCTGAAAGCATAAATCAGGAGTCCGACGCACTGCACTTGGAGTATCTGAGCTGCTATCGAGTTATGGTTATAGAGGAGCTGGAAATGGTGCAAATTTAATCAAGTCATTTGATAAGCTGTACGTTTTCCACCGTCATTTATCCAATCAGAATAAGCTCACAAGAGTGAGGAAAATTTGGAGAAGGCATTTTCAGTTCCCAGAAATGGCAGTCATTCACCCTGTGGTAAATTAGAACACTCTGCAATGTGATGAGCCAGATTGCCCTTCTTTCTCTTAAGTTGACTGAGTCAAATGACCTCATAGGACACATGGTACATATTTTTAATTTCCCTTGATGAAAACTACACAGATTTTTACATCATTGGTGATAAAGTCTTTTGAGAATATGAATGATAATTTTGAAAGGTTTTCTTTCTTTTCTTTTTTCCTCTCTAGGTATTAACATATTCCAGAAATCCGTATCCATGCCCAGAGCAATCAGAAAAACAAAACAAAACAAAAGGAAGCTCTGGGACAAGGAGGCATGGAAGTAGATATTGTGAGGCCTTCTCAGTGCAAATCTCCCTTATTTTAAACTGTCCCCATAAGCATATATATATACAGAAACACATGGGAACATGGGTATGTCAAACACACACAAACAGATATGAATATGTGTGTGTATAATACATAGAATGTTTTTTTTTTTTTTAAAGGTTTTATTTATTTGACAGAGAGAAACACAGCTAGAGAGGGAACACAAGCAGGGAGAGTGGGAGAGGGGGAAGCAGGCTCTCCGCGGAGCAGGGAGCCCGATGCGGGGCTCGATCCCAGGACCCTGGGACCAGGACCTCAGCTGAAGGCAGACACTTAACGACTGAGCCACCCAGGCACCCCCATAGAATGTTATTACATGATAAGGTGTGTTATGTTCTTTGAAAAAGAATGACAGTATGCAAATTATGGAGATCGGGTTTATTATAATCCAATCTAATTCTGTTTTCTCCAACACCAAAATGCAATCCCCTCAAATTTTCAACGCAGTTTCACTTTTCATGTATTTACTTTTATTCCCTTTTGGGGTGGGGGGGAGTTACAACGGCCAAAGCCATTGTAAACAGTGCAGGACTGATCATTCAGTCACTAGCTTTAGCAATAAAAATGAGTAAAAAGCGACATTAAAAAAAAAGAAAGAAAGAAAGATACCTTAGAACAAAATGAATGTATGTTTTAAGCAAGTCCAGGGCATTTTATACTAACCAGTTTCTCCCTCCTCCCCCTGTCTTTGTGCTGAACAGAACAGCTTTGGTTCTCCTACATTGCATTCCAGATGTTCAGGGGAAACTTAGCATCGCAGAATTCTCCACTAAAGATTGTTTTGTGAGGGGTTCTCAGCCATTATCGGACCGTGTGTTTTCTCTATCAACCGAAGGATATTTCCAATCCCAGATACAGCTTGGAGAATTCGTACTTCGGTTCTGTGTGTGTCTGTGTGTGTCTCTGCTGCCCGTTCAAAGATGCTTGCGACTCTTGCTTTTGAAATGGATCGCATGAGGATTATCATCTTCCTGTTTCTTTAGTTGTCCTTTTTCAGCACACAATTGTACAGAAGCCTCCAGAAGGTTTTCTTAACCTGCTGTGTCCATCTGTCTCCTTGGGTATGGGTCTGAAAACACAGAACCTCTTCTGAGTTCAGTGGGTTTGTTTTGTTTTGTTTTTTTAAATATAGTACTTCCCATTCTTTGTGGCTTTAAAACCTCATGTCTTAAACACAGGTGCCGCCTTGGAAATAGAAGGATTTTGGGTTGTTTGGCTTACTTTTGCACATTTGCTACAGAAAATGCCAGCTTCTAGTTCTCATAATAAAAATGGAAATGTCCTGTGATGGTGGATGGTTTACTCACTATCAACAGTAAACGTGGCTTTCCACTTTGATTTAATGATGAGCCCGAAACTTATTACATGTCTTCTTATGTATGCATTCTTGTCATAAACATTTAGATACAGTTGCTGTATAATAATCTAGTTAAAGCTTTTAAACACCTGGAGAGGGGGCGCCTGCGTGGCTCAGTCGGTTAAGCGTCTGCCTTCGGGTCAGGTCATGATCCCAGCACCCTGGGATCAAGCCCCAAGTCGGGCTCCCTGCTCCGCGGGGGCCTGCTTCTCCCTCTCTCTCCCTCTCTCTGTCTCTCTGTCAAATAAATAAGTAAAATCTTAAAAAAGCAATAAATAAACAACTGGAGAAGCTTCCTGATTCTCGGAGGCTCTCATTATATGGGTAAATGGTTTGTGTACAAAGGTTTGTACATAACTCACCAATCTGACTGGTGATGATAGTCATTTAAGAGCATTGCCAGGGCACGGATTCTATGAGAAGGAAAGAGTCCTGTTGAAAAGTCTGTGCTCATTTTCCTGTGGGAGGTGCGTCGTTGACATGTGCTGACAAGTGATGTTCTTTCCACAGAAGTGGGTAGATGGAGGCCTCACGAACAGCCTTCCCATCCTGCCCGTGGGCCGGACGGTGACGATCTCGCCCTTCAGTGGACGACTGGACATCTCCCCACGGGACAGAGGGCAGCTGGATCTCTATGTTACTGTCGCCAATCAGGACATAATGGTGAGTCAGAGGTTCCGTCACAGTTGAAGATCATCGCCTAAAAACTGCCAGAACTTTGGAAGCTCGTCGACAGTTTTATATACAAATGGCATCTTGTCAGCCGTACGGTTTTTTACTAGTTTACAACACATGTCATGCATGTGGGCCTGGGGGTCCCCATACGCTGTGAGGGCACAAGCCGTTCACTATCTGTTATCTGTTCGGGAGAAGTTCGCTTTGTCTTCACTCCTTCAGGACACGGAACGTATGACAGGTTTTCAGTGCACTTTTCAGTCGGATCATTTATTTGTTTAAAAAAATGGTGATCTGGGCGCCTGGGTGGCTCAGTTGGTTAAGCGACTGCCTTCGGCTCAGGTCATGATCCTGGAGTCCCGGGATCGAGTCCCGCATCGGGCTCCCTGCTCGGCAGGGAGTCTGCTTCTCCCTCTCCCGCTCCCCCCTCTTGTGCTCTTTCTCTCTCTCACTCTCTCTCTCAAATAAATAAATAAAACCTTTAAAAAAAAAATAAAAAAATAAAAAAATGGTGATCGTTAAGGATGGCAAAATATGGGAGAAAAACTTAGGGCCTCAACTGAGTAAGTTACATAAAATACGGACTCCCTTACATCTACCCCCTGTGGTCGCCAGCAGGAGGTGAAGTTACAGATGGAGATGTGTGTGGTTGTCACATTGGGGGGTGTTACTGGTATCCAGTATGTAAGGGTGAGGGACGCTGCTCGGCATCCTGCGATGCACCACAGCCCCCACGACAAACGAGCATCTGGCCCCGATGTCCACGGTCCCGAGGCTGAGAAACCCTCAGCTTGCCCGTGGCTGAAGTTAAACCTTTAAGGTTCGATTTTCTCAAACTGTGTTTTTTTTTTTTTAAATATTTATTTATTTATTTGACAGAGAGAGACACAGCGAGAGAGGGAACACAAGCAGGGGGAGTGGGAGAGGGAGAAGCAGGCTTCCCACGGAGCAGGGAGCCTGACGCGGGGCTCGATCCCAGGACCCTGGGATCATGACCTGAGCCAAAGGCAGACGCTTAACGACTGAGCCACCCAGGCGCCCCTCAAACTGGTTTTGCAAAATCACGATTTGTGTCTATGATGAGAAATCTTAGGTTACATTTGCCTGAACTGTAAGGTCCTACAGCTTCAATTTGTTCTTCTGTCCTAGTTGTCCGTGGCAAACTTGGTGAGGCTGAGCCAAGCCCTTTTCCCGCCAAGCAAGAGGAAAATGGAATCGCTCTATCAACGTGGGTTTGATGACGCCATTCAGTTTTTACTCAAAGAAAATTGGTTTGAATAGAATGCTTACAAGTTGATAATGCAAAACAGACTTCATACTTTTTTTTTTCATTTTTGTCCACATAGTGGTTGATGGAGGTTTCTAATTAAATCATTAAAAAAAAAAAAAAAACCTATCGGCATTCTCTATTACTAGTTTTTGTAATATTTGTGATTATTTTTACTGAGCAAGGAAATGAGAGGTGTTTTATTAGGCAGCGTAATGAAGAAGGTTGCACACAGGTCATGAGGAGTCCCTATTCAGAGAGCACTCGTGTCCTTTGGAAAATTTAGAAGGGTAAGCAATTTGGGTGAACTATGGGATGTTGAAAAAGGAGGGCCGCCCCTTCCCCTTGCTCAGAATGTGACTGCATGCTTTTCATGTGAAACATGCACGTTTGCTTGGCATACCAGTCCTACCAGGGGTGGAGGGACAAAGCTTTGCTTCTCACGGGAGGATGCCGATTGTGCCCAGTGAGCAGGCAGGGGGTGGCTGGGATGTGGTAGCCCAGAAGCCGGCATGTTTCCCTTATTCTTCAGTAGAAATTTATGCCCTCCCCACCTTCCTCCTTTTAAAACCCTAACCTCGGCCCTCCCCACGTCCCTAACGTGATTATCCGGCTTTTTAATGCTTCCCTGTTGTAAACTCTAGTCTCATTAATACTTCTGTCTCTTTCTCCACATCTCCGTCTATCTCTTTCTGCCTATGTCTTGGTTTCTCCCTCTCTCTTCCTCCAAGGCCATACACCATCAGATGATTAGCCATTAGTCTATGCACTGGATATATCTACTCCAGGAACCCAGACAATATACCACTACAAATGAAGAACCCAATCAACCAAGTAGCCCAGTAAATACGAATTCACTCGAAAATGATCATCCAGCTATTATTTTAGGTCATGCTATACTGATTTAGCTCTTCCCTTTCTGAGTCGCAATCCTATCACTTTTGAGGACTTGTATGTGGGTTTATACTAATTCGTGGACACTGTCTCAAGTCTTAAATCTATTTTTGTGGGGCTTTGCCAAGCATAAACTCTTAATTACTAAGAGGCAGTTAGAAACAAACCAGTTTCATTGCTTGTCTTTCTTTAATTGTTACGCATTTTTCTTTTAACATTTTAAACCATTCTTTAAATCAGTTTTATGGCTCTTAAAAGCTCCAAATACACAATTTTTAGCACAAAACCACCAACGATTGCCTCTTTTCTTACGAGTTATGCAGAGACTCATGATAGGGTAGTGATACTCCTTGGGGTATATATTTCTTGTTACTCTAGAAAACAGGTAGTTGAATCTTAATACATTCTTTTATATGTGACATCAACATTTTCAGTTTAGAACATCTGTGTTCACTAGATTTCCCCCCATTTATCATTTTATGTGACTATCCTATTTGTATGATATTTCAATACATTTTTAATGGATGTCTCCCCTCAGCAAAAACAAATGTTAGTATGTTAGATACCTAAGCTACTGTTCCTACTGCTTCCATCTTTGACCACGTTGGTGGACAATACTTCCCTTGAAAACCACGGCAAGCTCACGGACAGGTGGCTGTGCAGTTCCGCCGTGATGTCCCACGAGGGAAAAGCGGCAGTATACTGCAGTGTCTAGTTTCCACGAGCCAGGGGTGCTGGACCGAGTTCTCAAGCGGGGCGGGTCACAACGCATGGCACTCAGAATGCGTCCTCATGCATCCATACTGATGGAAACCAGGCATTCCCAACAGACCTGGATCCTGATAGTTTTGCTGGGTGATTACTGTGATTGTCAGCCTGAGAAGTGCCTGATCCCCTGTCGGGGCAGTTTCCTAATGCCTTTGAATCTGTCATTTAAAATTGCATTAGTCTTTCTATTTTTCTTTTCAGTAACACTCTTTACTTTGTAACTATGGTAACCCACTGATCCCACTGACAATTAGAGAAACTAGATTTGGTTTTGAAGTTAAATAATGCTCTAAAGGAGCAAGTAGTATATTAAAAAAAAAAAAAAAAAAAACCCTCTGTTACATTCTGGTTTCACAATATTGGATGTATTGTGTGGGCACCAGGAGCTTGCAAAGAAACAGCGGTATGGCTCCAGGCATTGAACTAGGAGTCCAAACACACCAGGGCACTTATAATGGGCAGATTTCGATACTCTTAATTTTTTTTTTCTGATGGTTAAAACAGATACATGTAAAAACTTTCCCTTTTTATATTTGTAAATATTAATCACAGAAAGTTTTTGGATCCAGTCCATTAATTTTATAGTTGAGGAACCAATAACTGACCAAGTCCACGGTTTTGAGGTTTTTCTTGCCTAAGCTCTATCTGCACTATGGCAAAATAAAATTGAAAGTTGCAGTAATTATCCACATAACTCAAAGCGGGAGGAAAAGCAATCTCTGCAGGCCACAAAAAGTGGAGACATTTTTAAACAACAACAATAATAATTACTAATGATTAGTAGCAATTACTGGTAATTACTAGTAATTATTATTAATTACTATTATTATTATTATTTGCAGATCGACAGTTCAGTTGGGCTGAATTCACCATGCAATTACTCAGATTTGCCCTCAGTTTTGCTTCTGGTGACACAGCTGAAAGCTTTGCTTAGCACTAATACGTGGATTAATGTATTCCTGACATTTGTCCCTTCAGTGTATCTCCTCATGCACTTGACTGACTTCAAAAGGGGTCAAAATAGGATTCAGTCTTTTCCACACTGTAGACAGTATTTCCGAATATGCATTCCTCCACTCCTGATCATAATAGCATACCCAGCGCAATCTGGAAATAAGGTGACGTTACGTGGTGAGAACCACGAATGTGCACAAGCATCATTAAACATACATCTCTACGCAGGCATGCATATATCGGAAGTACACGGCGTGGACCTCTGATCCACGCAGAGACGACGCATTTACTTACTGAATGCTTTCATTTACTTACTGTGAATTTTTCATTTACGTACCATGTTTACAAATGTCCTTTAGGATGTGCACAGTCAAATTAACTTTTGTGGGCAGACCAAGGAAAGTGCAAGTCGCGATACCATCCACGTGTTTTGGAAAGCCACAAAGTTCAGGCCAGTGCAGGAACATAGCCTTCTCCTGATGGGTTCTGCAGCTTTGCCATATGATTTTGCAGCTGTGGGCCAAGTTCACGGCTGCCAGCCGGCCCCGGCTCATAGGCTGTGGTCTGTAGGCTGAGAGGCTCTGTGCATTTAGACACGTGCACAATCCCATCCTGAAAAGTGCAGGTCAGATGACATGCTCTACCTCCCAAGACTGGGACTGAGCCATACAGAGGTTCTGGAGGACATACGTGTGGGCTCCTGCCTTCATGCAGCTCTCCTGATCAACTAGGAAATGGAAATGCAAGAAATTCAGGCCACACCAGCAGTGTGAAAGGGCCAGGAAGCTTGAGGGGAGTGCAGGGTTGCCATGTTGCCTTTGGTCACAAAGCGAGCAGAGACCATACAGACATACCGGTGTCCGCTGCTGGCCACGGAGACGTGCCGATATCCACTGCTGGCCACGGAGACGCACCGGTATCCACTGCTGGCCACGGAGATGCACCGGTATCCACTGCTGGCCACGGAGACGCGCCAGTATCCACTGCTGGCCACGGAAACGCGCCGATATCCGCTGCTGGCCACGGAGACGCGCCGGTGTCCGCTGCTGGCCACGGAGATATACCGCTATCCACTGCTGGCCACGGAGACACACCAATATCCGCTGCTGGCCATGGAGATATTCCGGTATCCACTGCTGGCCACGGAGACGCGCCGGTGTCTGCTGCTGGCCACGGAGACGCGCCGGTGTCCGCTGCTGGCCACGGAGATGCGCCGGTGTCCGCTGCTGGCCACGGAGACATACCGCTATTCACTGCTGGCCACAGAGAAATAACCGCTATCCATTGCTGGCCATGGAGACGCCCCGGTGTCCGCTGCTGGCCACGGAGACGCGCCGGTGTCCGCTGCTGGCCACGGAGACATGCTGGTGTCCACTGCTGGCCACGGAGACATGCCAGTGTGCACTGCTGGCCACAGAGACGCCCCAGTGTCTGCTGCTGGCCATGGAGACGTACCGCTATCACCTGCTGGCCACGGAGACGCACCAGTGTCTGCTGCTGGTCACGGAGACGTGCCGGTGTCCGCTGCTGGCCATGTAGACGCACAGGTATCCCCTGCTGACCATGGAGATGCACCGGTGTGCACTGCTGGCCACGGAGATATACTGGTATCCACTGCTGACCACGGAGACATATCGGTATCCACTGCTAGCCAAGATGAGACCTCCACCATCACCCCCAACCCATGTCTCACCTGGGCAGCAGAGAGAAACGCTAGTTGAGAGGCTGATGGATGACACCTGTTCAAATCCAGAAGTCTCTTCAGGAAAGGGGAAAATTTGCCCAAAGAGTGATCGATCCCTGGGCTTGCTTACATGGGGAACACTTTGGTAATGGGCACCCTTCCTGGCAAGGCTGTAGAGCTGGGAGATGAAGCTGTACTGACCAGCCTGAAGCACACATACCTGACCGTGGCCTCCATCCAAGGCAGTTAGCAGGACCGGTCCCTCCTAAAGAGGGAGGGGGTGTGCCTCACCTTGCTATTTCTGATTGCTCCTCCCACTGGCTGAACAGAATCATGGCAGTGCTGTTGACCATATCAAGGTGCGCTAGTCCCTCTGGGCTGCTAGAACAAAACACCAGACACTGGCTGGCGTGTAGACGACAGGAATTTACTTCTCACGGTTCTAGAGGCTGCAAGTCCAAGATGAAGGCACTGGCAGGTTTGCTGTCTGCTGAGCTCCAGCTTCCTGGTTCGCACACAGCCATGTTCTCGCTGTGTCTTCACAAGAAAGAGGGGTGAGGGAGCACTTTGGGGTCTCTTTGATTGGTGCTCTTCGGTGTGGACCATGTCTCTTCAGTTTCCTTCAGTGTGGACCATTTTATACGGTCTCTCTTTGACTTCACGACACTGGGAGGATCAGTGGGAGTTTGGAGGATTATGGGTCCTTTTCTCTATTTGTTCCCTAGGATGGCCATCACTAGGACCACAAACTGGTTGGCTTAAAACAGCAGAAACTTATTCTTTCACAGTTTTAGGAGGCCAGAATCCAAACATCCAGGAG